TGCTCCTAAGAAAGAGTAAATTACTACCTTCTGTATATGCATTTGGCTAGTACCAGATCAATGAGGGACAGTCCTTAGAAAAAGACATCCTACTTGGAGGGGTCAGAGAGTGAAAGAAAGATTTTCTGTGAGATGGACTGACAGAATGACTGTAACAAGCACTGGAACATACCAGTGAGTGGAAGGATGGTGCAGGATAGGACAAGGTCCTGATTTGTTGTTTATAAGATTGCTGTGAGTCATAGAGTCAATGGAACCTAACAACCACAGCCCAGTGATATGGAGTTTTGGTCATAAAACTCAAAAGTTGTATGTCTGGTGGTTCAAATCTCACCAGAGGCCATGTGTGTGTGTGTGTGTGTGTGTGTGTGTGTAAGATAGAAAATCTCCTCCCATTGCAATATATACTTACAGAAACCAAATAGAGGGTCAGCTATGATTTTTTTCTGACTCTATAGCAGAGAGAGAGAGAGGAGAGAGAGAGAGAGAGAAGGAGAAAGAGAGAAGGAGAGAAATATATCAATGAACTTGGACTCACTATAAAAACAGATCAGCTTTTTTTTTTTCTTCTTTTCTCCCTTGTATAGACTTTTATTCTCTAGTGACAAGACCTCAGGTTCTTATTTTTTTAATGTTGTATTTTTAATAATAATTTTTAAAATGTTTTGGTGAATTCACCTTTTGCATTTTTAATCAAATAAATCTATGCCCATGGTCATGCCAATGGTGTAGTAGTTCAACTGTCATATTTCTGAATATATGGTTCAGAAAGCAGATGATGTGAAATGTGCTAAACTTCAATCCAATATTAATGTTAGTTCATTTTCTAATGTATTCTAATGTGAAAAACAGTTGCAAAAAGTATCAGTGTCCCTCTACACACACACACACACACACAAACATGTTCCCAAGGAGAACTCTAACAATTTTGCATAGTCCCAAGATATTTTACTTTTGTGGATTTAGAATGCATCATAGTTTATCCTCCTTGTTTTACTTGTATTGGATAGAGATGAAGACATAACAGCACTGTTGGCATTATCTACCACATACACTTTGGATAGTGACTCAAAATGTTACCAGTTAGACATCTGAAACCATAGGCAGAGGCATTTATGAGAAATGTAAAAATAAAATAAAATGGGGGAATGTAAGAGTCATTGCAGATTCATGGGGCTTGAGACGAGCAGATAAGAGGAGTACAATCCTACAGGACCATTTGGTTAGAGTAGTTAGAACTCTACTGCTCACTGCCCCCAACCCTATTGTATCATGCTCTACAAGTCTGCCATTCCTAAATCATTCCACAATAGTTATTCTAATGTTAGAAATTGTAGAGGAATCCTACGCTTTGATAGATACTTACCTGACTCATGACACACAGGATACTGTATATTTGACATCTACTAACACTGTTGGAATGTTCTTCCATTAATCCTAGTACTGAGGTATCTTTATGGGGTAATTTTTCTTTAATAAACATTTTCTTACCAAGTTCCTATTGCCTGTTAATAAGTAGTCTTGAAAATTATCTCAATTAGGTTCTGCCACGAACATGTATCTGTAGATGAGTTCTACATCTGATCGAAGTCTTGACAGGATGATTGTCTTTCCTTGCAACACAGAACAGCAGATGCTTCTCTGACAGACCAGAATTAAGCAGACTGAGTTGCAGGTGGAACATTAAGCAGGGGATGCAGTAAACTACTCTTGAGACATGATTAAAAAAATTCATTTCTAGTGAACTCACCAGTCATAGTGAAGCAAAATTCTAAAAGACACAAGAAGATACTCTGTTGGCAAATAGGTAACATTGAGTCGTACTAATGAGCACCTCCTCATAAAGTTAGTCCTTTCTCACCAATTCAATCACAGAGCAGGAGACTGTCCAACTGTATATCTTTCTCCTGCTGAGTGGGTATAGTGGGTGTGAACTGCCAGAGAGACATGGCTTTTGGGTTAGAAGTACAACTCCCTGTGAACTAGGGCATGACACCAGAGCGGTGTTTGTTGTTGTTATAAACTCTAGTGATCTAGTAGTGTAAAGCTGCACTGTAATCCTGACAGCATGAAGTTCAAAGCTACCAGCCTCTCTGCAGGAGAAATATGGGCAATCTCCTCCCATGTGATTAACTGCCTCTGAAAATCCCCTGGAAGGTCACTTATGGGTTGAATCTACAGCACCAATAACAACAACCTTCAAGTAGGAACCAACTTATAGCAGACCTTCTGGTGGGCATTCAAAAGCTGTAAATTGCACAGGAAGATATTACCCATCTTTCTCCACTGGAGAAGCTTGTGCATTCGAACTATACGTATTTAGGTTGGCAGTGCAACTCCTTATTAATAGACGACCAGAGCTCCCTCACCAGAGTGGTAGCAGGGCCTAACTTGAATTTTAAAGAACAAGTTCAGGTTTGCGTGGAGACAGGATGTTATTGCTATGTTGTCTTGCCTCAGCACATCTGAGGATGTTTCCTTTCTCCTTCTCATAGAGCTTGGTAAATTCTATTCAGATGGCTTTGGACACATGTCTAGGAAATTGTCATCACCTCTGTTCTTCCCTTCTATTACAGGGAACCATGATCTCAGGCAAATCATTGAGCCAGAGTATACAAAAGTGCTGCGCACAGGAGAGCCAGAAAACCTCACCTCCTGTATTCATTTACAAGAGTAGTTAGCACTTCAGGGACACAAGGGGAAAAGGATGAACCCCCATGCAGCAGAACCTTAAGGTGTGAACAGGCTGTTCCAAACTGTCTTGCCAGGAAACAGCTGAGTTATTTGGTAGCTGGTGGTGCTGGGGCAAAGGTCAAATGAAAAGTGGAACCAGTAATTGTTTCTCTTCATTCCAAACATTTAGGAACCCTCTCAGGTGTAGTTGACCCCTAAAGACACAGGGGTCATTCCAATGTGCCTGGTTTCTGACCTCATGTCTGCTTCTCAGCTACTGACTTCATTCCCAGAATCAGTCAGGACAATTTAGACGTATATGAACATAAATATCAGCATCTACCTTTCCTTTTCATTTGTGACTTGAGGCGAAGGTCAGGGGTCAGGATTAAGTGGGAGAGGGAATCCCTAAATCAGTGGTAGGCAAGATTATTCATTATCAGCCCAAAGTTGTGCTATTTTTATCTTAATAACTACACCAAAAAAGTATTTACATCTTAAAGGCTTTTTCCTAATTGGCCTTGATAGTCTTCTCAGGTAAGGAAGGTGTTTCAGCTCAGACAAGAGCTGCTGGAAAGTTGCCAGCCTCAGTGAGTCATGCTGCCTGTGGGTGTTAAAGATGCAGTCCTCATCAAAACTTCCCCCACTATGCTTCTGGCAGGATGATAGTGGCCATCTGATCTCCTGTTGGTCATCTGGCACATGTCACAGAAAGCCCCAGCTTGCTCATCCCTTCCCTGTCCTCAAAACCACATGAGGCAGGCTCTCCTGCCCACACACCTCCCCTCCACCCAACAATGAGGTACCACAAAAAGTTGAAGAGGGACATGGAACACTTTTTAATGTCAAGTCAGAGACAATCCCTCCCTCCCATCTCCCCCAATCCCTCAACACATCCAGGAGCCTGTCTGTTGCCCAGACTTCTGGGGAAGAAGTTACAGTTATCTAAAAACGGCATGTTCTTTTTCTTTCATACACACACACACAAAGGTGTAAAATTAAATAAAATAAACCAAGAGGATTAAACTCTCCAGTGGTCACAAAGGCATCAGAGATTCCCATAGTAGGCTAAAGCAAATGGTTACGAATTATTTAGTTGTTCAGTTGTTTACTGCTTATTAATACCTCAAGGCCTGATGGAGAAGTAGCCACCTGTGGTGGTCTTTACCTTGAAAAGCCACACCCGGATAAAGATGCTGTGCCTTGTATTAGTTTATGTTTGTTTGTTTTCTGGTGTTGTCTGTTGTTTTGTTGGGGTTTTCCCCCCACTTTTTATAAATGTCTCTGATGTAAATAATCCAAGGAAATAAAAGGCAGGAGCTGATTACACAATTACCAATAAACTCTATCATCTTTTAGAGGACCAACACACAGCTAACGCCATATACAGCATGCAGTAATGTCTGAGATAGGACCCTGCTGAAAATAAGATGGCTAAAACTCTAACAAAACAAAAATATATATGCTTATATATACTGTATAATATATGTCATCAAAAGAAGCATAGCCAACAAACTCAAGATACAGTGTGGATCACTCTTGCCATTCTAAACAGTATGTAGATAGCATAGTATTGTCTGCATTAAATGCCAGAGTAAGGAGAAATCTGTAGCGCTGGTGGATATGTTGGTTAAATCATATAAATTTTTTGGTGGCTGTGCCCAATCCCTCCGGTGATTATTTCCGGTGTTGTGGCCCACCAGTTGTAAACCTAGATAAGAAATATACTATTCATGTTTAATGTTTAACACACATACTTCTCTTCACCCTTTTGTGTATTGTCTTAGTTTTTGTCTTGTTTTTACACTAAATTCTAGACTCATATCAGAAAATATAATTAATAAAATTAATAATGAATCAGAATCCCTTATTATCCATAGTATACATATTGTAAAATGAAACAAAAAAGAAGTTAACAATATCTTTTCTAATTGTTGCTCACGGGATTATTTTTGCTGTCAGGCTGTCTCGTTTCCTTCTCTTTGTGTTTTTAAAATTTTGTATTTTGTAATACATGATTGTGGCATAGTCCGTGAAGGGGCCTCCTGTGGTACATCTGGGACTGGGGATACAATTGGTTCATGTCTTTGATTAGCTGAATGTGGAGTGGCCGGCTCTGGAATTTGCCATGACGGGGGACTTGAGTGAGCAGAGTGGAGGAGCCCCTGCCCACTCTGGCAACAAAGACGTCTCAGATGCAGCTTGCAGGTGGGTCCAACGTTGGGTGTGCATTCTTCCCGGATGGGGAAGAAAAAAAAACTCACTGGTACCTAAATATCTGCAAGGCAAATTTTCAATTTCCTTTGTTTCCCAAAGTATTCTTTGCTCCCCTCCCTCAAATTGATGTCCCATTATGCTTGTTTCTCTGAATTGCGTTGATTACATCTTAATTAACCAGGGATGCTCTTGTTGCTGTCGGTGTTGCCGTGTGTCGGTGTTGTGTTGGTGGTTGCAGTGGCGGCAGCTTTTCCCCAGCTGGGGGAGTGACACTCACATCAAAATTTTAGGAGTAAGTGCAAGACCAGAAGAGGTAAGAGCCAGATGCAGCCGGCCCGCCGTGATGTGCCATTGTTGACCTCGCTGACTGCGCCTGGGCCTGTGGAGAGAACACATACATGAGTGGCCTGGGACAGGTGGCAGAGCGCCTTGTGCTGTCTGATGCCATCAGACAGTGGCCCCGATAAACTGTCCCTGTAAGTGAGGGCGTTTGGAGGTTCAGTGCCACACTTCTGTGGATGCACCAGAAACAAGCTCCCCTTGCTGTCACATGGACGTTCTCTTTTAAAGTGGGCAGTCTTTCCTCGTCTTCTCACAGCACGAGAACACAAGGCTCTAGATAAAGCATCCTGATTGTCACTATTTTGCTGTATAGTAAAAAGCTAAGGCCATGTGCCAGAATAAAGTTTAAGAAAACAGCAGCACAAATGAATATCCTGCATAAAGCATCAAAGATGTAATATTCCCGAATTGTTTGTAGTGCAGGGCACCAACTGTTCTAAATATTGAAACATCCTCCAGAAGCCCATCCTGTGGCTCAGGAGAGGACCTCTTGCATGTTACATTCTGTCTGCCTGTCATCTAGCTCAGGATCCACTGTGCAACCACTATGTATCTCTGGGAAGGCACTGGGCTTCCATCCAGAGCACCTGGGCTTTCTCCTCTGTCTACAGAAGCAGCAACTCTATGTGGAGCAGGACAGAACAGCCTGAAGGGGAGTGGGGATCCAATATGGAGTTGAGATGAACTCACAAGTAACCAGGTGGCCTTTTGATGTGCAGGTATAAGAAACTGACAATTTATCTGGATGATGGGATGTAGAATGTGCCATTGTGTACAGTTGTGGGAGGGAATAACACATCTCCTTAAGAATCACACAAAAAACTGGTCTGCAGATACGTACCCTGAGATGTATCCAAACACAGGAGGCAAAACAAAGTCACAGGACACTCTAGAAACTTCTTTACTTTATGAAACATAAACTGTAAAGGTACCTTGACCCTTGCTATTAAGAACCACTGCCCTAAAAACAAGAGTAGTACACATAAATATGGTTGTTCAGATAATTTAGGTAGCTCTGGTCTCCTAGAGCTGCCAAGCCAAAGGTATGCTGTTTAAATCTACCAGCTATTCCACAGGAGAACGATGAGGAATCTACTATGTGATTTATTGCCTCTAAAAATCTGCTGGATGGTTAACCATGAGTTGGTTCTGACTCAATGTCATGTAACAACACTGAACCAGGACATCTCAGATTAGACCTGGCGCACACTATTGCATTGAATAAAATGGAGTATGCTAATACTATTATTGTTGTTATTTTGTGCCATCAAGCCAGAACTGATTTATAACTGATCAGCCTAGTGGTTTTCAGAGGCTGTAAATTGCATAGGAGGAGACTGCCCATCTTTCTGTTGCAGAGCAGCTGACAGATTTGAACTGCCTGCTTCTGGGTTGGCAGGTAAACTCCTTACCATTAGGCCACCAGAGTTTCTGGCCTATTTAAGGTTATTCACACATTAAGTTCATGTCTTCACAGGAAGATGAAGTAGAATAGCCAGAACTTGTTTGTCTGGCTTGGAAGCTCCACACTAAAATTATGCTTCTTAAATAACATCAGAATTCAGTCAGAGTTCTTGATTCCATTAGGTTCTGAAACTTCTGACCTTGAGATTTTGGTTCATACAATTTTACATTTAGTCCTCTAGGATGAATCTTCTCGGCTTCTGGGGGAGTGGTAAATAGTCAGAAGTTCATCCTTGTTTCCCTGGTGTTTATGGAATTCCCAAGGCAGAATTTTCTTGTACATGTGTTCATGATGGGAACACTAGAGGCAACTACTCTACCTTCAACCCACCAGAAAAATGAACTGGTGGTCCACACAAACTTTCAGATATTTTCCCAAAATACCCTCCTCCTCTCAGACAACGGTAACTCACAGGGGACAGGGGAGGATCCATGAAAAGATCCAAGAAGATGTACAGGTAATTTCAGAGATACCGCTCTATGGCTTCTAAAATCTAACAGCAAATGATTTTGTGTTTCTATATAAACTATCACCATGGACTCCTTCCTTTCATAGGCCCAGTTGCTGTTATTTATACAGTATTCTTTGGTATCACATGAGAGAAGCCACTCTGATGCCTTTAAGGATTTGTGGAGTTTGTCTTTCAATATGACTTCTCTAGCCCTTATTTGATGTTGTTATGCAGTAGGCAGAACTACGTGAATGGGACATGTTGGCTTATCTACAAAGGGATTGGCTATCTATCATTCCATAAGGGAATTGGCTAGTTTCAACAGTGTACAAGAGGATTGGCTGGTCTCATCAAGAAATTGAAGGGTTCTAGCTGCAGAAAGGAATTCTCCCACTAGAGGGGATGGAATTCTTCACCCAGCCAGATAACAGAAATTTCTTCCAACTCAGTAAAATGTAAGACACAGTTCAAGATGGTAGCAACAGTGATGGCTGAACTGGAGAACTGGATGTGAGATGGAACTTTAGCGTCAAGAAGCCAGTAATGACAGGACTGAGAACTTGGGAACACTTAGAGACACAGAGCTCAAGGCAGAGCTTTGGGTGCTGTCTTGACTGTATTTTCTTTTTAATCTAAATTATAACCTTTGAACCCCCAATATGGTTCTTAGTGGTCTGTGAGTATATCACATTGGATTTCTGTACACAGTCAAACGGTAAGATGGGTGTTGAGATGAATAGGAAGAGGCATAGGAGCATGGGGAACACATCCCACATCATGGGACTGGTTTTGTATTATTGATGCTGTGGGTAGGAACTCCTCCTGTGAAGATGGTAAAGGTCAGATACAGCTCCCCATGTGGCCTTTGCTCTTTCTACAAGACCATACTCCTTTTCCCAGAACCATTCTGATGTCATTAAGAACCATGTCCCTTACCCTGGGGCTATTCTGACATCCTTCCAGCCAAGATGCTTGGCATGGCCTGAGGCTGAGAGCTTGATAGCTCATGGACTGTTTCTGGGTTCTTGAGAATTAATAGACTTTGGTGAGATTCCTGTTTAATCTAGGGGTTATAGTCTACCTTCCCACAAGCATAGGCTATTCCAATGCATCAGATGCCAGTTCCAATGTGTCCTGCTCTTCTGTGACCCTGACAGGACATATATCAATAAACACAGCAAATGGCTCTCATCCTATCTTGTTTTTCCTCCTCAATACTTGCATACAAAAAGCTTTGAAATCTACTTCTTCATTTGTCCCAGTGTCCTCAGGCCATGACAAAGATCCCTAAGATGAAAGAGAAGCAAACACAGGCCTGTCTCTAACATTCTGAGGCCCCTTCTCAGGGTCCTTCCTCTCAGGTCCAGCCAGTCAGTGGAGGGCTCCAGGGAAGAGGACACAGTCTAGTGAATAGCCCAGCAGGGTACTGACAGGGTCATTGTGCAAAGGAAGGCTGAAATCCTTGTCTCTCACCAGGGACTCCACAGCATGGTGGTGGCCCTGAGCAAGATGTACCCCCTCTGCATGTGCAAAATGGTGTGGTGTCTCTGCAGGGGCTCCTCTGGGCACTGAGCTTTTTTGTCTCATGGCTGGGTCTTCCATCCCTTTGTGACTCTGCCCCTTGCTGTGGAACACTAGAGATCATGCAGGGAGGGTCCTGACTTGCCTGTTGTGACACTAATCACAGAAAGAAAAAAAAAACGGCCACCCAGTGGCCATCCCCGGAGCCTCCTGCTCTTGCACTGCTATCCTGGGAAAGCTTCCAGAGTACTTCTCCACTACCCTGGTGATCGCCCACCCCAGAGCAGGGCAGCTGCTTTCAGAGCTCAGTTACATCCAGCCTGTCCTCAGGCCACTGCCCTGCCTGGCCACACCCTTGTCTTCAGCAACTCAGATCACCTGGCCCAATGGGGGAAGGAGAAGGAAGATGCAGACACAGGTCTTCACACCTTCTCAGAGAATGCAGTCCATAGCAGCTCCCTCTACATGGAAACTTTCCCTTAAGTTTCTATACTGGTCTATAAATCCTCACAGCAATTCTTCATATTATTCCAGAGTGATGTTTCTGAGATTTAAAACTAAATTGAATCCTCCAACTTATAGAAAAACTCCTAATTTCCTAGGGAAACATTCATTCTATCTCATAATCTGTGTGCTTTCTGCCTTTTCAGCCCCTCCTTTGGGCATGAGGAGTTTCTGGTGGTTCTCTGATGTCGTGTATATGGTACATACACATTCAAGATCTGTAGACTGCTATATATGTGTACATCTGCGCATACATACACATATGTGTACACTCACACATGAGTGTACATAGTATTCATGCACACACCATTACACACACATGCACATGACATACATACACCTGCACTGAGTAGCTATGTGCCCTTTCTCCTCTGCTCCTCTCCTGGAACCACCCTTCCCTTGCTCACTCTACTCATTGTTCCAGAATGTTCAGCCTCTAGGTGCCCTCTCTCAGAAGCCCTCCTTGATTCTCACAGCATCACACACTTAATAAAATACCTCCCCCTTCTAACTCAATTCTTACATATCTAAAGTATACATTTTTTCTACTCTTTGCGTTCCTTACAAGCCTGTCTGCATCTAATTGGGCTCACAGCAGGTATTCAAGAAAGGATTTCTAAAGGAAAGCAAAAAAGGAGTCAGAATATTATGATATGACCTAGACTGGTGTGTCATATTTCCTTCAACTCTCAGTTTTTCTTTGTTTTGTAGCATTACTGGGGGAAAAGCAAAGCTCAGTCTAAACCAAATGGAGCGAAATAACTCCTTTCCTTATTTTGTTTTAACTTTCTTACCTTTTTCTTTTTCCAATAAAATTCACTGAGACATATTATAGTTCAAGACCATATATTTGAACCATTTGATTCTGTAAAACCAGAGTTTCAAATACAGTACTTGTAGTTGGAATGGTAATTCAGCTGCCTAGTGAGCCTCATCTACCAGGCGAGGATGATTTTTAAGATGTAGGAAGAACCCCATGAACTTAAATGACCCTTCCAAGGTTTCCTGGATTTGGAGTCAGAGAATGTGGAAGCCATATAGGACAGCAGAGACACTTCCCCGTCTGGACAATATCTGATGGAGGGAACAGGACGTGTGCCTACTGTGCCCAGCATGGTCACCTTGCCCTTGCCAACACATGGAGGCTGTGAGGTGAATGTCTTTGTGCAAGCGAGTGAGATCCCAGTCTTCCTGTGAGCAAGGCTCCTGAGATGCTATGATGGCCAGAGTGACAGCTCAGCCATCTGCCTGGGCCACAGGCATGAGTGCTCCATGCTACTCTCAGTCACACCTCCTCTCACACATGAAGCCTTCCTCACCTCTCTCATTAGGGAGCTCAGAGGCCAGGGAGACTAATTACCAGGATTGTCAGGGTCTCAAAGAACTGTGATGAGTGTCAATTACTCATCGGAAACATCTGGTGGAGATGAAATCCTCAAATAAGACATTTTTTATTTGTAGTAAAGTGACTCAACAAAGAATCAACCCCCTCTTTCCACAGTCCCTCCCTCCCATTACTTCCTTTACTGCTCCAAGCTAGAGAGTGAGGGAGAGCGAAAGAAAAACTTGGGCAAGCGAAGGGCAGCATGTGAGACCAAGGCTCCAGAGGACCGTTGGGTTAGAGCATCTGAGCATGAGAGCAAACCTGTGCTGAGAAGATCAGGAACAGAGCTAGTCTGGGCCCCTACAAGGCTCATTAGTGAATTCAGCAAGGCCAGTTAGATTTCTGCAGGTGGAAGCTCCCCAGGAGAAAGGGGTGTTCAGGGAAGAAATGATTCAAAGTCAGAAAGTTTGCTTCTTCCGGAAGTTTGTTAGTTTAGAGGAGAAGAAGGTGCTTTGCAGGAAGGAGAAGAGATTGTGCATGCCAGATCCCCACCAAGGCAGCAGGATCTGAGCAGAAATATACCGACCTTTCCAAGGGGGCAGGGCTGTAGTTTTCACTTCTAAAAGAAATGCAAAACAGGCCGCTGTTAAGGTAGACAGCAATTGAGGTGCACACTGTACTCAAGATGGTTTTCTGAGAAGGTGGGGACATTCCTGGCCAGGGCCTTCCTGATTGTTCCCCAACCACACCCACCCTGATTTGTTGAGTGGCCAGTGTGCCACAAGGAAATGAAAGAATCAGAATCAGGGGCAGGGAGTGGGCCAGCGCAAGTGGAGCTGACTCATTCACCGGCTGGGGGAAAAGGATCAGAGTACACCCTGGGAGTCTGAGGATTTCCAGATGTTATTCCCTGTAAAGCAACTCTCTTTTGTTGGTCACCAAATTTGGCTTACAACCATGAAGGCTTTAAGTACGAAGTCTATGATAAAATAGAGTATGCTACAGACACCTGAAATTAGTTGCTTATTGTATGTCTCATTTGTAAATGTGTGACTGTTATTTAGGTACACATTTTTAAAATGCTACCAAGGGACCAACGTCTTAGATAGTTCTCTTGTTGTCCAGAATGTGCTACCTGGTCCTGTGAGGCTCTACCTCTAGGAAGCCGGTGAGGCAACAAGCCTCTTTTCTGTCCTTCACTTGCCAGCCCCTTCTTTCGATAGAGTGGTGGTCTACTAGTTCCTCTTCACTGAATTCTTGCTGTTAGGTGCCTTGGAGTCATCCAAGACTCACAGTGACCCTATAAATAGTGGATCTGAATCATGCCACCCCCCAACCCATCTTTGAAATACTCAAGCTCATCATCACAGTCACTGTGCCATGTCATCTCACCGAGAATCCTCCTCTCTGACTGCTGTTGTTGTTGTTACGTGCTGTCGAGTCACTTGCGACTCATAGCGACCCTATGTACAACAACCCTAAACTCTGCTTTATCTTGTGCCAATCGCACTGCCCCTGACACACCCATCCCAATTACCCCAGTCACTGAATCAATCCACCTCATAGAAGGTCTTCCCCTCCTGTGCCGTCCCTCCACCCTCCCAAGCAAGATGTCCCTCTCCAAGGACCTGTCTCTCCTTACAACATGTATAAAGTATGTCAGACGAAGCCCCAGAATCCTTGCCTCCAAGGAGCAGCCTGGTTTAACTCTCTCCAGGTTGAATCTGTTTGTTTTCTTGGTAGTCCATGGTATATTCAATATACTTCTCCAGCACCACAGCTCAAAGGCATCAATTCTCCTTCTATCTTCCCTAGCCATTGTCCAACTCTCTGATGCATAACACGTGACTGCAAAGACCACAGCCTGTATTAGACGCACCTTAGCCTCCAGAGTGACATCATTGCTCTTCAGTACCCTGGAGAGGTCCCTAACAACAGACTTTCCCATCGCAATACATTTTTCATTTCCTGGCTGTTGGTGCCAAGAGTGTGGACCGTGGAGCCGAGCAAACTGAAGCTGTGAACAATCTCAATCTTTTCGCCATCCATCCTGATGCTACTGATTGGTCCAGTGGTGAGAATCTTTGTCTTCTTGACATTGAGCCTCAGTCCATACTGAAGGCTGCAGTCCTTGACCCTCTGCAGTAAGTGCATGAGGTCTTCCTCAGTTTCAGCAAGCAGGGTTGTATCATCTGCATAACGCAGATTGTTGATAGATCTTCCACCAATCCTAACACCACGTTTCTCCTCATAGAGCCCAGCCTCTCAGATAATCTGTTCTGCATACAGGTTGAAAAGGTATGGAGATAGGACACATCCCTGGCATATACCTTTCCCAGTTTTGAACTATGCAGTGTTTCCCTACTCTGTTCTGACGACTGCCTCTTGATCCAAGTATAGGTTTCACATTAGAACGATCAAGTGTTCTGGGATTTCCAATTCTTCTCAGACGCGTTTCTGACTAGACTGGGAAAACTCTATTTCTTTCACCAGCTGTGGGCTATCAGAATAAACCCATCTCTGCTGCTAAGAGCAGTGTATGCCTGGTCTAGCCTCAGTGAGGTTTACTTCTGTCTCTGGCAGGAGGCACTCCTGCTCTTCCCCTGGAGACAAATAAGAAAGAAAATGGCAATAATGTCTTTTGCATTGAAATAATATTTTAGAAGTTCATGCTTTCTTTCTAAAGGCTATTGCATAAGAGGGAATAGAAACTTATGTATAACTAATTCTAAACTAAAACATTTACCTAAAAGCTGATGAATATATTCATCTTATTTTTAAAAGCAGCTAAGATACAATGTCCTTTTCAAGTTACAGGGACATTTGCAGCACCAAGAAGACACTTTGGAGAAATACTGCTTTAAGGAATGATCATCCATGATGAAACTTTTTCTGATTCAGATATTTGATGCAAAGCCAGAGCGGAAGAGAAACCTAGTGGTCAGAGCAGAATGTTATGTGTACATTGAGTGCTTAGTAAGAACACTCCCATGGAGTACTTGTCACAGCCTAGAAACTAGCCAGATGAAAAGAAGTGGTTTGTTTCATAAAATGCTTTGTCCTGTTATTGCTGCTTAAAAATAAAAAGTCAATCCATCATCTTTCCAACAAAGTTCATGCTTGTAGCTGCTTCCAAGTCCTTGGGTAAGCACAGGGCTGGGATTGGATGTCAGTGGACAGAGAAGGAAAGGTTGAGGGCTGTTTTCCCTTTGGACTATACAATCCTGTGAGGACAAATTTGTATTTTTGTTACACATGGTGTTATTTAGATACATACATCACAGAAATGTTAACTGTGGTTATCGGGGTTAATTAATCAGCTGTAATCTTCTGTGAACATAGCAAGGGAATGAAGCATCATTTAAAATCAAGAAAAGGCATCAAGCAAGACTATATCATTTCTCCATACATATTCCATCTGTAAACTGAGTAAATCATTCAAGAGCCTAGACTTTATTTAAAAGAATATGGTATCAGGATCAGAGGACCAATCATCAACAATTGGCATTATGCTGATGACACAATCTTGCTGAAAGTGAAGAGGATTTGAAACTCTTGCTGCAGGAGATCAAAGACTACAGTTTCAGTATGTATTACATCTCAACATCAAGAAAACAAAACCACTCATCACTGGATCAATGAGCAGCATCATGGTAGATGGGGTGAAGCTTGAAATTATCAGTGATTTAAAATTTCATTTGAATTCACAATCAACACTATTCACACCAGAAGTCAAGATATCAAAAGATTTATTACCAGTAAATATGCTGACAAAGAACTTCTTTAATGTGTTAAGGAGCAAAGGTGTCAGTTTAAAGACTAAGGTGTATCTTAATCAAATCATTGTCTTTCCAGTAACACATTTTATGAATTTGAAAATTAGACAATGTCTTAGGATTTTAGAAGAAGATTTTATGCCCATGGACTGTCAAAAAATAAACAAATATGTCTTGGAGAAAGTACAGCCAGGTTGCTCCTTGAAAACCAGGATGGTGGAGTTTTGTTTCACATATTTTGGGCATGTTTTAGGAGATATCTATCAGTTCTCCTGACATCATGCGTGGAAGGGTAGATCAGTGAAAGAGATGAAATGAGAAAGGGAGATGAGTCCCTGAGACAGACTGACACAGTGACTGTAATGACAGGCTCAAGTATATCAGAGATGATAAGGATGGCACAGGATAGGGTCAGGTTCAGATTTATTAGTCAGGGGTTACTTTTAGTCATAGTTGATTCAATAGCACTTAACAACAACAACAACAAAAATATTTTGTGCGTGGAAAAAGATAGATGATTTCTCCCTGCTGCCCTTTTCTTGTATACATGGCTTAGTTTGATTTCCTGCTCTTTACTAAAGGAGGCTGGTGGTATAGTGTATAATGTCAAGAGACTGCTAACCAAGAGGTCAGCAATTCAAATCCACCAGTCACTCTGGGAGAAAGATACACAGTCTCTTCTTGTAAAGATTCACAGCCTTACAAGCCTCAGAATGGAGGGTCACTATGAGTTGGAATCAACACCTTGCCAATGTGCTAAGTCCTATAATAGTTTGGCGGTTGTTGTGAGGTTCACAAGCAAGGAGCCCGCTGATATCATCAAATCCAACTGAATGCCTCAGCGATAAAAGACTCAATTACTGATGGGTGGGGTGAGCAGCTACCAAAGGCCTGAGGCTGCAGTGCAATTCCTAGCACACTTGCCACTTACAAGTTCCCTGCTGTTCAGTGGTGCAGGCCTGTGTCCTTATTCTTCACAGCAGTTGTCCTGCACTGCCTTCTATTAATAAGAGAGAACAACATACAATCTGTCGTGTTCGTAAAAACGGAGCAGAGAAAGACTTCAAGTGTGGTAGGTAGATAGAGGAACAAATTTATACTAGCAGAATTATTCTATCCTGGTCCATCTAGATAATGCACACCAAAATAATTCTGACTTTTCCTTAAATCCATGCTATTCTTGCCAGTGAACATCTTGCATTCGTATGTCTGACTTGATGTTTTAGAGATGATGTGAGCTTGACTAGGGGGATATTCTGTGGTGTCATAAGTACTGCTGGCCAGAAGACTTGGGATTTGAATCTACCCAGAAGAGCCTTGTAAGAAAAGTCTGGCGATCTACCGTTGAAGAAATCTGCCACTGAAAACCCTATGAAACACAGTTTGACAAACACAAGTTGTCATGAATTGGAACTGATTTGATGACAACTATATTGCTTGGGTGTATCCCACTATGGTCTTTTGGGTTATAGTCCACTCAATACTAGCAAAGAAGGTGGAAAAAGTAAACAAACAAATAAATACAGCTGATGAAGTACTTCTAAATTCAAAATCTTATTTTCCTTTAAAACATTCTAAGTTGTACAAAGGAATTCAGCTGATTTAGGTCACACTAATTCAAGTTTTTGAAGGTTTCCATGTCTATAATCTATAACAGTCCTGGCTAGCCTATTATGCTGCTTCTTATGGGAAATTTGCCAAGGTGAGGGTTGAGTACACCCAAAAACTCAATGTAGAAAAGTGCCATAGACATCAAGATACTCAAAGTCCTCACTCCTAAACAATAATGAGTGAGACAGCAGAAGGAATCAGCTATGACAACCTAGCTTTCTCTCAGAAGCAT